GAACCAGTACAAATGCCCATCATCGAGTGGATAAAGAAAATGTGGTATGTGTATATATATATATATATGTATACACACACACACACACACACTATAGACTACTACTCAGACATAACAAGGAATGAAATAATGGCATTTGTAGCAACCTGGATGGAATTGGAGACCATTATTCTAAGTGAAGTAACTCAGGAATGGAAAACCAAACATCGTACGTTCTCACTCATAAGTGGGAGTTAAGCTATGAGGACATAAGAAGGCATAAGAATGATACAATGAACTTTGGGGACTTGGGGGAAAGGCTGGGAGAGGGAGGAGGAATAAAAGACTATACATTGGGTACAGTGTACACTGCTTGGGTGATAGGTGCACCACTATCTCAGAAATCACCACTAAAGAACTTTTGCATGTAACCAAACATCACCTGTTCCCCAAAACTATTGAAATAAAAAAGTATTAAAATGGATAAATGTTATATATAATTTGGTTTATCCAGCAAATGACTAACTTTAAGAGAAATTCACAAATTGATTTTAAGTGATTTAAATTTTTGTAACAAATTAGAATCCCTTATGCTTGATAAAACAATTAGTAAAACTAAGTAGAATCAAGTAATCTTTTCTGCATTTTAGTGTTCCTGATTCTTTTGAGAAAATATAGAAGGCCTAAAGACAATTTCATTTTAGAGTTTAAGAATTCTTCAGAATTTGATCCAAATCCCTCCATGTACTGGGGTCACTTGTGACAAGAAAAAAGAAAACCTTGACCATGGTCACATGGTAAGTCGGTAGCAGAACTAGACAAAAACTCAGCTCTCCTGATTTCCAGTCTAATACTTTTTTCATTATCCCATGCAACCTCGAAACAGAAAAATTAGAAGAAGAAAAGTAACCCAAACTCATAGGACTGTATCTTTTTTGGATTCCTACAAATACTCTTGAGCTTTGTTTCAGGAGGCGGTTACTTGGAAACAGTTTGATCCTTTCAGGTCTTGCTGTTAAGACTTATTAGGTAAGATCAGAGTAATGTTTAGTCTAGGGCTCATTATTCCCCACTATTGAGACAAGGCCCTTCTGAATGCTACCCAGTATCCTGTGAATTATGAGGTTTTCCATAACCTCATAATAGCTGGTGGGAAAAGTCACTATTGCCAGCCCTATGTGAGCTCCAAGTACTGTCCCCTCTAACCTTCTAGAGCAGCTCTTTCTCCAGCCTCAGGTACTTTCCTGAAATGCAGGGAAACCTTCTGTATTCCAGGAAAGCACCTGAGGCTGGGGAAAGAGTACTCCAGAATACTCTCCCTGGGCAGTGCTCTCTTGACCAGTGCTAGCTGCCTTGGTTTCCCAGGCGTCTCACTTCTGTCCCCTTAACTTGGCAGTGACTGGCTCCTTCATGATTCCCACTTTCTGCACCATGACCTGGAATCTCTTTCAAGGCAGCAAGCTGGGACATTTCTCAGAGATCACTGTCCTTCGTTGCCTGATATCCAACTTCTTGGAAATTGTTGTTTCATATATTTTCTTCACCTTTCTTTTGTTGTTTCAGGTGGGAGGGTTAATCTGGTCCCTGTGGTGTCTTTTTTTTTTTTCTACTCTGAAATCTTGGGTCTAAGAACTCTCTCCTACTTTATGAATTGGCTAGTAACAATTCCTTTTCTTTTAATAGCCTTTTCTTTTATCTGTTCTCATAATGAGAAGCACAATTAAATTCTTATAAAGCTTTGGTAAGAGATACTTGGCAAAAATAAGCAATTTAAGTATGATGACAACTGACAAAGACTCTCCTTAAGCAAAATTTAGTCAGGTTCCTTTGAGCCCATTTTCTATTAGGCCCGGTACTCGGGCCTTGTCATCAAGAGCAAGAATCCTGTTAAGTCAGTTTTGTAAGAATCCCCATCCTCATATCTGACCTCCCTCAATAGCCGATCAAATTCCTCATCCCCCATTGCCCCCCAGGTGTTGTCCAATCATCCTGGCCTGCCTTCGGCAAGAATCCTGTTAGATCTGTTTAACCAGAATTCCCTCTGACCTTGATGTTTCCTCCTAGGAATTTTCCATCCACTGACCCCACTCTGTTCCTTGGTATAAATCCCCCCTTATTCTTGTTGTTTTCAGAACTGAGCACAGTTCTATACTCAAGTCCCTTCCTTTATTGCAATAGTTCCTGAGTAAAATCTAGTTTTTACTGCTTTCTTTACTGTCTAGCTCTGGTTTTAATACTACTATGTCCAATTTTACATAAAAATTCTTTATCACATATTCCACATTTTGAAACTCTAGCACTATCAACACCTAAGCTGAAAATGGTCTCTTATCCCTTAAAATTAAGGTTGTAAAAGTATAAACAATAAAAAAAAAAATCCACCTTGTTGCCATTGGCTACAGGTGGCATTGGCTACCTAATTCCATATACTCCAAATACAAACAACTGTAGTGATTATGTCCCATTTAAGATTCTCTGCATTCTCTTTCTGCATATTGGAAATTTATTTCTATAAAGGCAGTAAGCAGGGTCAATGAAAACTTTACTCATTGCATTTTGGAGCCAAAGGGGACCTCAGAAAATCGATTTCTAATTGCTGTCTTTGTGGAGGTCAAAAACTGAAGTCTGGAACTAACTTAAACTGATTTACTACTATATTACAGGAGACATGAGACTCAGTCATTATCCCTCTTGAATTTTTAGTGATTTAAAATGTAGTATTATAGGCTGGGCACGGTGGCTCACACCTGTAATTCCAAAACTTTGAGAGGCCGAGGTGGGTGGATCACGAGGTCAGAAGATCGAGACCATCCTGGCTAACACAGTGAAACCCCGTCTCCACTAGAAATACAAAAAATTTGCCGGGTGTGGTGGCGGGCGCCTGTAGTTCTAGCTACTTGGGAGGCTGAGACAGGAGAATGGCGTGAACCCGGGAGGTGGAGCTTGCAGCGAGCCAAGATCACACCATTGCACTCCAGCCTGGGCGACAGTGTGAGACTCCATCTCAAAAAAAAAAAAAAAAACTAAATAAAAAATGTAGTACCATAATTGAACTCAACACTTGAAAAATGGCAGAACCATCCACATGTATAGTAAAACTACCGTTTCCTTTGACTTAAATCTGGAACTTTAGAATATCAAACTTTAAAAGTGCATTAACTTTTTAATCAGCTGCATCATACTGCATCTAGTAAAATTCCCTGCTTTTTCACATGAACTGCTAAGACGGATGCTTTCATATCTTGTCACTGCAATTTTTAGTTTTTTCATAAGGTCTAAGAATTATTTTCCTCTGGAGAAGGGTTTTAAAATTCTGCTCTCCAGAGTGTCCTTCTGCCCCTTGGCCTGTGGATGGAAAGTGAAGGAAGGAGAATAATTATGATGTCAAGTGAACTGAGTCTGGATCCTCAATCCCCTGCTTCAACCAACACAATTCCCCACTTACCATATCTGCTTTCTATAACGGGTTTCGGAGCAAGATTTAATTGAAAGATTTCCCTTTTAAAGTTCAAAAACTACTGTTGTAATACCCATCTCACTTACATTTTTATCTCTTCTGTTTTCATCATATTGCTGTCTTTCCCTCCTTTTGTTTCTCTGCCCCTTTTTCACTTTTCCTATTTGCAACTACATTTCCTTCTAGTTATTTTGCTTTTTAAAAAGGATAAAGTTCAGTGTTTTTTCCCTCTTTGCACAACCCATGGTTTTTAGAAAAAGAATACTGTATGATTATATGAAGGACTAAAAACGTTGCTAAGAGATTATTCATGGGCAATTCTGAAATTTATATTAAAATAACCAAGAGAATATCTTACTTCACTTTCTAAGTGCAGTATTAAAAAAAAGTTTCTCGCCAGGTGTGGTGCCTCACGCCTGTGATCCCAGCACTCTGGGAGGCCGAGGTGGGCAGATCATCTGAGGTCAGGAGTTTGAGACCGCCCTGGCCGACATGGCAAAACCCTTTCTCTACTAAAAATACAAGAATTAGCCAGGCATGGTGGTGGGCGCCTGTAATCCCAGCTACTCAGGAGGCTGAGGCAGGAGAATCACTTGAACTCGGGAGGCGGAGGTTGCAGTGGGCCGAGATTGTGCCACTGCACTCCAGCCTGAGTGACAGAGCAGGACTCTGTCTTAAAAAAACAAAACAACAACAAAAAACAAACTTTCTATTTTAAGACCTACCCATGATAACAATATACATTTGCAACTTTACCTTAACTTCATAATATCTTGGTGTATGTTAAATCAATAATTAATCCAAGCTCCTCATTTAGTTCTTTTATTACGCTAATCAAGTCTTTCAGTATAAACTTCGGGGTTGGAGTAAGTCTCTGATTTACCGTCTATGATGAAAAATGAAAAATAAGGTTACAAAATACAGATAAAATGTTAACATTAAACATAGAACAAAGAAGGAAGAGAAAAAACATAATAAGAAGAATTGGTGACAATTTCATAGCATAAGAACATTGTCAAAGCTTTTAACTAACTAGAGCTGTACAAAGAGCCTAAACATATTCACATCCTTTGCCTCAGTGATTTCATGTCTTGGAAATTATCCTAAGGCAAATATCAGAAATACTGGGGAAAAAGAGTTTGGGCGTAACATTCACTGCACCATTATGTATAATAGAAACACATTGGAATATCATGTTACTGTTAAAAATCACATTTCTCAAAGATGGTTATTATTATTTTTGAAACAGAGTCTCGCTCTGTCGCCCAGGCTGGAGTGCAGTGGCATGATCTCGGCTCGCTGCAAGCTCCGCCTCCTGGGTTGATGCCATTCTCCTGCCTCAGCCTCCTGAGTAGCTGGTGCCCACCACCACGCCTGGCTAATTGATTATATTTTTAAATGAGGTCTCACTTTGTCATCTAGGATGGGATGCAATGGTGCAATCATAGCTCACTGTATCCTTGAACTCTTGGGCTCAAGGGATCCTCCTTCCTCAGGCTCCCAAGTAGCTAGGATTACAGGTAGGCACTACCCTTCTCAGGTATTAATTTTTTGTGTGTGTGTGGGAGACAGGGTCTTGCTATGTTGTTGCCCGGGTTGGTCTTGAACTTCTGGCCTCAAGTGATCCTCCCACCTTGGCCTCCCAAAGTCCTTGGATCATAGGCATGAGCCACCATGCCAGGCCACAAAGACTATTTAATAAGGAAAAATCCTCAAAATGTTACATAAAGATCACATCGCAAAACTTTTACATGTAGTGTTATTCTGATTTTTTTTGAAGCGACAGGGAGAAGGAAAATGGTGTCTTAAAGAGAATATATCATTATTTTAAAAGTGGAATTTCAATTGTTTTTCTTCTATACTCATATATTTTCCATGTTTTTTTTTTTTCTATTTCCAACAGAAACTTTCTGTAAATGCTACTGTCATTACAGGATAAACTGGGAGGCGGAGGTTGCGGCAAGCTAAGATTGCACCACTGTACTCCAAACTGGGCTGATAGAGGCTCCGTCCCAAAAAAAAAAAAAAAAAAAAACTGAGTTGGGTACTAAATTCCTTAATGAACATGAGTGACCAGGCAGCTGGTAAATAACAGTGAGGAGAGGGAAAAGGGCTCATTAGAGAAGAGTTTCTGCTAAGGTTTACAAGGGTGGAATGGAATGGCCTAGCAATGGCCATAAGACAACAAATACAGATACCACCTGCGCCGCGGGGGCGGTGGCAGACTTTCGCTGTGGTGAATTGCTGGGAAAGCAGCGTCTTCAGGAGAGAGCCAGGTACCCAATATCACAAGGAGGAATGTTCTGTGAACAAGAAGATATAAAGATATAGAGGGGTTTACATATGGGGAGTCTAGAGAAAGAGTTTCCAGTTTCCAGACGAAGGTGGATAGTGAGATGATTAGCAGATGGAGAAGGTGTGGGAATGATGCTGCGAGAAGGGATAAATTATCTGGGTGGTTACCGAGTATGACAGAAACTATAGGGAGGGTGGGATTTATGGTCTCAAATGAAACTCTAACATTGTTTCAGTGCCAAGCTGTCAGAAACACTGGGACTTTATTTTGCTTACTAAGGTTGAACACTAGCGACTAGTTTTGGTCACTACGCTATTAAAAAATAAAGACAATTCTAAGAAATGTAGTCAATTAATGAATATCAGAATAAAGATGTTAATAGTTTATTCCCTGTTATTAACATGTACATTTAGAAAGAAAATAAGAGCAAAGCTTAAAAATGCATGGAAGGTTTACACAGAACGACTGCTGGGGCACAATGCCTGACACAGAACGCAGTTAAACACCGTGGAAGGCTCGAATGAGTGAAAGCTTACAAACCACCACTGTGCGGCTCTCCACACTAGCAAGTTTCCGAAGTTCGTCCCAGCCGGTTTCCCTGAACAAGTTCCCAACCGCATCACGTTTAGTTTATCTCGTTATTCTAACTCGGAGCGAGGCAATGGGAAAAAGAAAAACAACGAGGGCTATGCTCTGTTTATTAAGCAATGAATGACGACACGTGGGTGAGCGTGTCTGGCCTGCCCTATTTTAATACTTTAAACATAGTACATTAGTAGGCTAACAGCAAGCTCTGGAAATAAAAGGAACCGCTTGCATATTTAGGGGGCTCTTTTGTAAGTCACAAAGGAAGCACCCGAAGTCAAAGCTCACCTCTTTTCCTAGCAAGGCAGGGACGACGGAAAGCATAAAGTAGGTCCCAGTGCGCCGCAACCCGCGCAACTGGCTGGCTGGCGTCCTACGGCCTCGCGCCTCCACGCTGCGTCCTCCACGCTCTTCCCACGGCGGCGCCCCGCAGCGTCCTCCCCGGGGACGCCAGCTCAACCGGGAGCTCGCGGGCGGTACTCACCCGCTGGGTATACGCCTCTTCACCACGACGAGAGGGGTGAGGGCCCCACCCCCCAGGCAACCCCGCTCTCAGGCCTCCTCCAGAACAGAACCCAGGGGACGCTACAACTCACACGCGCGCGGGCAGAGGCGAGGGGCGGGGGTGATAGACCCGGGCGGCGAACAGACTTGGCGCACCGAAGATTCCCCCAGGCGCGCGCTCCGCTCCTGCTGGCAGGCCAGGGGTCGCAGCACGCATGCTCCTGGGTCGCCGTGACTTGCAGCCGGCGGGTGCCGTGGGGCGGGCGCAGGGTGCGGTGGGGCGGTTGGTGATCGTCCTAGCCTGCGGTAGATGGTGTGCCCTGCCTTCGCTGCCCAGACGTTAAGAAAAGTGCACTGTGCGTCCAGGTGAATGTCGGGCTGCTGGTGAAGGCTTCTCTGATGCTTCCCTGTCAGACATTCCCGCACTTTTGTGGAGCTCTGCTCCATGGGGAGAACACGCAGGGCTGGGATAACGGGAGCCGGGTCCGCGCAGGCAGCTGGGACTTGTAGTCCGGGGGCCTGGCCGACCCGTTCGTTAGCCAATTTGGGAACGAGTACAATTGAAAATCACTCGAGGCGGGCGCGGTGGCTCAAGCCTGTAATCCCAGCACTTTGGGAGGTTGAGACGGGCGGATCACGAGGTCAGGAGATCGAGACCATCCTGGCTAACACGGTGAAACCCCGTCTCTACTAAAAAATACAAAAAAACTAGCCGGGCGAGGTGGCGGGCGCCTGTAGTCCCAGCTACTCGGGAGGCTGAGCCAGGAGAATGGCGTAAACCCGGGAGACGGAGCTTGCAGTGAGCCGAGATCCGGGCACTGCACTCCAGCCTGGGTGACGGAGCGAGACTCCGTCTCAAAAAAAAAAAAAAAAAGAAAATCACTCGAGAGCAGTGTTTGATTTGTATCAAATACGGGTCGGCATATTATTAATTCAGTGCCTATTGTGTGTGCTGAACACCTTGCCCTAGTCCTGGTCTTCACATTAGGACAAGCAGAAAGATGAACTTGCAAGGTAGAATGTAATGAACAAAATTCACATTACGAACTACAAGTGCTGTTGGAGATCAAGAGACAGAGTTAGGAAAAACTTCCTGGAAGACGTGGAGTTTGAATCAGCCTTTGAAACACGGAATGCTATCCAGTTGCGGGGAAGTTGTAAAAATTAAAGGATGGAGATGCCAGGGAGTGTAAACAAGAACTCCATCCAGCTATAGTTGAGGGATTATGTTGGAGAGTGGTCACTGCGGCTTAGATGGGGAAGTGGATGTGAGGGTTTTTTGGCTTCACTTTCAGAAAGGGCCTCCCGGTTGACTTCCTGTCTAATTGAGGTTATGAGTATAGACACAGAGGTACATCTTCAGGTTTGAATAAAAGGCATTACAGTACTTAATTGTTTCAAGTTTCTGGACCTCCTGGCCAGTGGTTGCTCTAAGAATTAATGTATTTTTATAAATCTTGTAATTTACTTTTGAGTAACAAAACTACATTGCATGGTGTGTGTTAGATGTAAATTTTCAAAATACAGTATGATAGTTTTTGTAACCTGTTTCCACATTAGTTTTCATGTACCAGAAGTCCCAAGATAGAGAAGTGGGCCCAAATCTTTCTTGATCTACAGGAGCAGGACGTGATGACTTGGGAACTGGTCCTGAGAGGAGTAGGTGATTTAGTTTTGTTGCCTTTCAAAGACTTAAATAAATTCACAGATCAGAAAATCTTTTGTCACACCACTTGTTCCTACGTTTTGATTTTGGAAAACAAGATACCAGTTAAGTTAATTTTTAAACTTGCCAGTTAATGCAATACGTGGAAGTCATAATGTTTTTTGTAGTACAATGAAATACTGCTGTATTCCACTGAACTAAGTAAAGAATTGTTAAGTTAAATTCTAATTCTAACATAACTTAATAACAATAAAGGGTAGCTGGTACCATATTTTTAATAGATTATTTTTACAAAATGCTATTGTTGCCTTAATTACATCATAACTGTGAATGAGTCCTTAATTCTGGACCTAGAATCCTAATTCAAATTAAGTCTGGAAGAGCATCCTTTAAGAAACATTGCTATAAGAGAGTTCAGAAAGGTGTCATCATACTGTGTGACAATAGATGAACTGAGATAAAGATAAAATTGGATTTTGGTCTGAATTCAGATCTGCTAAGGAAGGAAACTGCATTAATACATTTAGAAATATTTCTAACAAGAGCCAGGGGAAAATTAAAGGGAACCAAATTTCTGACTGGATCACAATTAAAGATATGTTACTATATACTAGGATATGCATTGTGTAACCATTTCCACATGCTAGAAATTTTTATGTGGTTTTATTTTGCTAGCACTCCTGAAACCAAATGGCATGTGACAGAAGTAACCAAGGTGATTGAAAATTGTGCCAAAAAGAAGTCTTTGCTGATTCAGGGATCTCGCTTAGTCTTGTGCCCGCAGAACTGATTTAGAAATTTGTTTAGGCCAAGCGCAGTGGCTCATGCCTGTAATTCCAATGCTTTGGGAGGCTGAGGCAGGAGGATTGCTTGAGGCCAAGAATTCAAGAGCAGCCTGAGCAACATAGTGAGACCCTGTCTTCACATAATAATAATAATAATAACAACAATAATAATTAGCCGAGCCTTAGAGACACATGCCTGTAGTCCTAGCTACTCAAGAGGCAGAAGCAGGAGGATCGCTTGAACCCAGGAGTTCGAGACTGTAATGAGCTGTCATCATGTCACTGCACTTCAGCTTGGGTGAAAGAGTGAGACCCTGTCTCTGAAAAACAAACAGATAAACAAAAATTTGTGTGGTGTTCTAGTTTCTACAAATGTCTGGGGAATTGCATGAACTTGCATTTAACCGTCATGTTAAATGATACTCTTGTTTTAGGCCTTTCTTGCATTGTAACAGAAGAATACTAGGTAATTTATAAAGAAAAGAGTTTTAATTGACTCACAGTTCTGCAGACTATACAAGCATGGCTCTAACATCTGCTTCTGGTGAGGGCATCAGGGAGCTTACAATCATAGTGGAAGGGAAGGGGAACCAGCATGTCACATGGCAAGAGAGGCAGTAAAGGAGACAAGGGGGAGGTCAGGTCCTGGACAGACTCTTTTAAACAACTAGATCTCATGTGAAGTAACTGAGCAAGAACTCACTCATCATGAAGGGGATGGTGCTAAGCCAACCACGAGGGATCCACCCCCACAATCCAATCACTTCCCACCAGGCCCCATCTCCATTATTGGGAATCACATTTCAACATGAGATTTGGAGGAGACAAACATCCAAATCATATCATTCCACCCTTAGCCTCCCAAATCTCACATCCTTCTGACATTTCAAAATATAATCATGCCTTTGCAATAGTCCCCAAAGTCTTTTTTTTTTTTTTTTTTTTTTTTGAGACAGAGTCTTGCTCTGTCCCCAGGCTGGAGTGCAGTGGCCAGATCTCAGCTCACTGCAAGCTCCGCCTCCCGGGTTTACGCCATTCTCCTACCTCAGCCTCCCGAGTAGCTGGGACCACAGGCGCCCGCCAACCCGCCCGGCTAGTTTTTTTTTTTTTTTTGCATTTTTTAGTAGAGACGGGGTTTCACTGTGTTAGCCAGGATGGTCATGATCTCCTGACCTTGTGATCCGCCCGTCTCGGCCTCCCAAAGTGCTGGGATTACAGGCTTGAGCCACCGCGCCCGGCCGTCTCCAAAGTCTTAATTCATTCCAGCCTTAACTCAAAAATCCCAAAGTCCAAAGTCTTATCTGAAATTCAAGGCCAAATTCCTTCCACCTCTGCTCCTGCAAAATAAAAAACAAGTTATTTACTTCCTAGATACAATGGCAGTGCAGGCACGGGGGAAACATTCCCATTCCAAAAGGGAGAAATTGGCCAAAAGAAAGGAGTAATAGGCCCCATGCAAGTTTGAAATGCAGCAGGCCAGGCATTAAATCTTAAAGTTCCAGCATAATACTTGACTCCATGTCCTGCATCCAGAGCACACTGGTGCAAGGGGTGGACTCCCAAGGTCTTGGGCAGCTTCGCCTCCGTGGCTTTGCAGGGTGCAGCCCACATGGCGGTTGTCATGGGTTGAAGTTGAGTGCTTGCAGCTTTTCCAGGCAGGGAGTGCGAGCTGCTGGTGAATCTACCGTTCTGGAGTCTGGAGGGTGACGGCCTCTTCCCACAGCTCCACAAGGCAGTGCCCCAGGGGAGACCCTGTGGGGGCTCCAACCCCACACTGCCCCTCAGCATTACCATAGTAGAGTTTATCTGTGAGTGTTCCACACCTGTAGCAGTCTTCTCTCTGGGCACCCAGGCTTCTTCATATATCCCCTGATATCCAGGTGGAAGCTGTCAAGCCTCCTTCATACTTGCATTCTGAGCGTCTGCAGACTTAACACCCTGTGGAAGCCACCAAGGCTGACAGCTTGCACACTCTGGAGCTGCAGCCCAAGCTGTACCTGGGCCTCTCTGAACCAAGGCTGGAGCCAGAGCAGCTTAGATACAGGGAGCAGTGTCTTGAGGCTGAACAGGGTGGTGGGGCCCTGGGCTTGCTCCCTGAAATCATTCATTCCTCCTAGGCCTATGGGCCTGTAATTGCAGGGGCTATCTGAAAGACTTCTGAAATGCCTTTGAGGCCTTATTCCCATTGTCCTGGATAATAGCACTTGGCTGTCTTTTAGTCAAGTTAATCTCTCTAGCAAGTGATTGCTCCACAGCCTGCTTAAATTCTTTCTCTGCCACAGGGCCAGGCTGCAAATGTTTCAAACTTTTATGCTCTACTTCCTTTTTAAATATAAGTTCCAACTTTATTCCTTTGCTACCACATCTGATAATAGCCTGTTAGAAGCAGTCATGTCACTTTTTGAATGCTTAGATGTTTAGAAATTTCTTCTGCCAGATACCTCTAAGTCATCACTCTTAAGTCCAAACTTCCACAGATTCCTCGGACATGGACACAGTGCAGCTAAGTTCTTTGCTAGGGCATAACAGGGGTGATCTTCACTCCAATTCCCAGTAACTTTCTCATTTCCATTTGAGACCTCATCAGCCTGGCCTTCACTGTCCATATCTCTATCCGCATTTTGGCCACAACCATTTAGCCAGTCTCCAAGAAATTCCAAACTTTCCCTCATCTTCCCTTCCTGTCTTCTTCTGAGGCCTCCATACTCTTATAACCTCTGCCCCTTACCAAGTTCCAGAGCCACTTCCACATCTTCAGGTATCTGTACAGAATGCTTCACATCTTGGCATCAACTTTCTGTCTTAGGTCGTTTTTGTGTCACTATAAAGGAATTCCTGAGACTGAGTAGTTTATAAATAAAAAAAGTTTAATTGGCTCACAGTTCTGCAGGCTGCACAAATATGGCTGCAGCATCTGCTTCTGGTGACGGCCTCAGGAAGCTTACAATTGTGGTGGAAAGAAAGTTGTCATGCCATATGGTGAGACAAGGAGCAAGAGAGAGAAAAGCAAGGTATCAGACTCTTTTAAACAATTAGATCTCATGTGAATTGAGCAAGAACTCACTCATCACCAAGGGTATGGTGCTAAGCCATCCATGAGGGATCCACCCCCACAGTCCAATCACTTCCCATCAGGCCCCATCTCCAACATTGGGAATACATTTCAACATGAAATTTGGAGAGG